TTTAGATACTAAGATAGATGAGTTAAAGCACGCTATTCGTCGAGCGGAGGTAAGAGTTTTATTTAATTCCATCTATAAAATAAAGATTTACTTATTTATATATCCATAAATTAATCATGATAACGATATGATACGTCGCACTTTCACAAACAGTCTCACATACACTCTCACACACGTACATACACATAATTTATATCTTTTTCTAACAGACTGCAAAACTTAAAGCGGAGGCAAGGATAGAATGTCTTCGACACGGTGGAGGTTTGTCAATATTTTCCACATTTTAATAAAATCACGAAAATATTAGGAAAACTTATGAAAGAAAAGAGCATAAAAGGAATGTAAGGAAAATACCTTTCATGATATTCTTACTTATTGCTTCGTATTTTATAGTGAATGTAGACGAATTCTTGCAAGAAGCTGAAACACTCAGTGTCCAGGACATGCCACGTTCGGCCAGTTCTCTCTCCGTTAGAACAGATGCATCTGGTGCAGCGGTAATTATTAAAATATATAATATGCCAAATTGTATCAAAATCATAAATTTTTCTAATTTTTAATAATGAAAACAGAAATGTATATATATATATATATATTTAATTCTTTATCTATAGGAACATCCGTCATCAGATTCATTCTATGATAGCGATGGTGACGGCGGGAGCGACCTAACAACATTGGAGCGACCTGGGAAGAATGCGCCTCAAGAAGAAGATGTCGAAGAAAGGCAGAGGCATGACAGTGCCGAAGTTGATGGTATGCAGACTATTTTCATACGTTGTAAATTTATAAATATTAACACAATTTATTTATTATTCTTATTAATCTGTTTCGTACATTTCATATGTACTGTTTAAAAAACAAAAGATTCTCTTTAGCATTGCTAGAACAGGAAAAGCAACGAATAGAGCAATTAACAGCAGGCTGGGATGATCCGACAGCAGTCGATTGGGAGAAAGAAGAGAAAGACGAGCACGAGATGATGCACGAGACACCAGAGATGCCTTCAAACCAACCCATATACAAATGCACTGCTCTATACTCTTACACAGTAAGCGATTCTAGTAAAATTGTTTTATAGAGTGCAAAATTTTGATCATAGGAAATTAAATAGTACTTTGTATATCAAAAATATTCCTAATTAAAATGATATGTTTTTTTATTCTGTAAAAAGAAAATTATTTTTTAGGCGCAAAATCCCGATGAGCTTTCTATCGTGGAAAGCGAGCAGTTGGATGTAGTGGGCGAAGGCGACGGCGATGGATGGTTAAAAGCAAGAAATTACCGTGGAGAAGAAGGTTTCGTACCCCAAAACTATCTCGATGTGGAGAGAGAACCCGAGATCATCACCGGCGGTCTAACTTCGCAGGGTCCAGGTCTAGTTCAGCAGATCTCCTTCTCGTCTGTTGATTACACCATTGATGATCACGACGCCGTCGATCCCGATGCCAATTTGCAAAGTGCCGCTTCGGAAACTATAATACAAAATCATATTGGAGGTATGTCAAAAAATTTGATTTATTTACAACTTATTATTATTTACAACTTTTGTTTGTTCTGACAAACTCTAAAATCTTAAATATTAAAAACATGATAAGTAATACATGATATATATCTTAAATTCTAGAAATGGAGCAGTATTGCGTCGCGCTTTACGATTATGATGCGACATGCGATGAGGAGTTAAGCTTTTTAGAAGGCGACATCGTTAAAATATTGAAAAAAGAACCACATGATGTAGACGATGGGTGGTGGGAAGGTGAATTAAGAGGTCAGCGGGGTCTGTTTCCCTCTCTCGTCGTGGAGCCCTGTGGCCCAGATGGATGTCCTTTGACCCCACAGGTGAAAAATTAAATATGAAATAGATTACACGCATATGTATCGATTTGTAAATTAAATTAGTCATATATCATGAATATAAAAAATATATTTTGGTTAAAATTATACATTAATTAAGCAGAAAAACGTATTGTGTTAAACGTTAAATTATAAATCGAATAATTAATTAACAACAAATTTAATAACAAAAATAATATAAAATTTTTATTATTCTAGGACAACACAACACCACCGAGTTCTGCGCCGCCAGTCTTTACCCCACCGGAAGTACCAGAATTTTTGTTAGCCGATGAACTTGCTCAGATGGAAGGTAATTATAATTACTTTAATTCACTGTTAATTTAAATATTTATTTCCTATTTATATATATATATATATATATATATATATATATATATATATATTGTATGTATTTTTTACACACGTCTATTATAGAATCACAAGAAGGAAAAATGGTGAATGGTGATAATAGATTCATGATAAATTTATCCCAAGATCAAAAGGATCAATATGGTTCACAGTTCGATAGCGATAAACCAGAGGAAACTCCAGGTATATTAGGTGAGCTTCCAAATTAGATTAGAATTTTCGAAATAGGCTATGATAATAGTTGAAATACAGCAGGTATTTTAATCTATGAAATATTATAACTTGCTGCGCAGTTGTGGAGGTAACAGATGAATCGGGTAATAAGGTAAATTAAAACAATACGAGAGATCATATAAATTAGATATTTAACATTTGGTTTTAATACTTTCCTTTTTATAAAAAGCATGCAGTTATTTTTAGCAAAAATTTAACGTATTAATGTTATAAATGTATCTTATAATTTAATAATAAAATCTGCTTCAGAGATTAAAATTAAATTTTGTTTCTGCAAAAAATATGTCGTGTTTCTTAAATTTAATAGCGATATATGATTCATATATAGAATCACAGAAAATTATTTTATACCAAAAATCAAATCTTATTCGACTTGCAGACGGAAAAGTTTGAGGATCCCAAATTCAATGACGATCTCAAATCTGATGATCAAAAGGATGATTTTGGTCTCGGAGTAGCTCAAATCGTAATCACAGCCGCAACTCCAATGGAAGAGATCGAACATCCTTTCCCCGGTGCGGAGGAAACTCCGGGAGATTCAACAAAATCCGCAGAAGTCCCCGAAGTTGAGCCGGAAGCTTCAAGCGTGGCTTCAGATCCAAATGAAAATGAATGTAAAGAAGAAGAAGAATCAACCATCATGTTGGACGAAAAAGAAGCAGAAGAAATCGAAGAAAAATCTACAATTGACGAACTTCCAACCGACTCGGCACCATTTCCGATAAGTAGCAGTTCCGGAAGCGAAGCGGAATCAACTTCCGGTCCCAGCACCAACGAAAATTCTCAATCGAGAGGAACAGTAGTGGAAGTGACTGAAGAAGTTACCGAGGTCATGGAAGAAGAGGAAATAGCGCCAGGCAAGATGCTGGTAGGAGGAAGAGCCAGCATCCCGGATGAACTGCAACCAGATCAATTGGAAAAATTGCAGACGCTTAAGGAGTCGAACGCCTAGGGCTGACTGGGCCCCGGGGCCCAAAAGGGTAGAATTACTTTGCCTGATGGCCACCCCGACAACTTTCGACATCTGCTAGACTTTTGGCGATCGCCTGAAGTGCTAGGCAAAAAAGACTAACTGTAATAAAAACTCACACTAAGACTCTCTCTAAGAGTCATAAAATTCTTACGGTGATCGAGTATTGGTGGAAATAAAGACGTTTGGAATTGTGACTGAATTATCTTTAGAATAATGAATGTTAATAGATCAAATGGTACTGAAGACTGTCTAAAATATAACTATAAACGTAATTATTTTCATGTGTCGAAAGCACAAGAAAATTTCCAGAATACAATTTAACTGGCTTATAATTATCTCGGAAATAATGTGTAAGTTTTTATCAATCGGAATTATAAAAAAAATTTTTTATTTACAAAACTATCTACCATACTGATTTATTAACATCCATGAAAAGGAAAGAAGATGTTTTAGCGCATATTAACTGAGAAAAATGATTAAGTTGAATAAAAAATAATTTTAAGTTGATAAAAAATATTTAAAACCAGTACAGTCACAAAGAATAGATAAATTAATGTACAAGATCACTAAGACTTTATATAAGGTCACCGAGATTTCTTTGTGTTGACCGATTAATAAGATACTAGAAGAATTAATTGTCCTATTTTAGGGCAAACTGGGCTTTAATGAGTTGATTAAACTCTTAAGTTAATGAAAATGACGAAGGAGGCGGAGGGAGAGATTTTCTTTCGTAGGAAATGATGTACAGTGAAACGGAATAATAGAATTGTCGATACCTGTGTATTATAAAGGGCGTACATTTCAAAGGAATTACACTGGTGTTGCATGTAAAAAAAGACTATTCATTCAATATTCCTCGTTTTTCATTTTCACTTTATCCTTATTTAAATATATCAATGATCCATAATGCCAGGAAATTTATTTGAATGCAATGAAATAAAGATTTCCAAGGATTTTAGAAATAAAATTCAAATTTGTAGAAAAGTTTTATTGTTTGCATATACATGCGAAAAACCATATAAGTCTCAAAAATATTTTGATAACAATTGATAGCTCTTTAAGCTTGCATTCGCAAAGCACCATCCAATCTAATTGTTTCTCCATTTAATAATGGATTTTCAACGATTTGTTGCACCAACATGGCATACTCATCAGGATTCCCCAATCTCTGAGGAAACGGTATGCTTTTTGCCAAGAAAGTGCGCACCTTGTCCGGCAATTCTCTTAATAGTGGAGTATCGAAAAGTCCTGGAGCAATTGTTACGACACGAATTCCATCCTTGGAAAGATCGCGAGCAATCGGTAAAGTCATTCCTACATAATAACGTGAATTATAGAAAACTTATAAAAAATAAAAGAAAATAAGAGAAATTTATAATTTAGAATAAAATAAATAATAAATAAATAAATGCAATGATAAGCATGGCAAGAATAAAATTATGTACACAGTGTCTCAGAATCAAGATCTTTTAATCAGTTAATGGAGCTTACATATATCGTGGTAGGATTGACAACTAAGAATTCTGAAATACTTTGTATAATATTTAAATGATAAATAAAATAATAAGAAATTAAAGTAACATACCTACAACTGCTCCTTTTGAGGCAGAATAAGCAGCTTGTCCCATTTGACCATCAAAAGCTGCAACACTTGCAGTGTTGACAATTACACCTCTTTGACCATCTTGATTAGGTGTGTTTTCAATCATCAAACCAGCAGAAAGACGAATAGCATTGAAAGTGCCAATAGTATTGACGTGAATGATTTTAGAAAAGTCCTCCAATTTGTGAGGAAGTTTTTTATTACTATTATATGTTTTGAAGGCTATGGCAATGCCAGCGGCGTTGACAAGAACATCAAGCTTACCAAATTTTTGTTTTGTAAGATCAAGAGCAGCCTGAACATCAGATTCTGAAGTTACCTTAAAAAAAGGAAGGATTTAAACTAAATAAAAAGGTAATGATAAGATAAGAACAAATTAAATAAAAATAAAACAAAAACAATTATAAATAATAATTATAATAATAATTATAAATTATCTACTTTAAGATAAGATGTAATTTCACATGTTTTAAAAAATAATTATATTATTGTATTAAATATTATACATACATCCATAGGTGCAAATACTGCATTGGTTTCTCCCAACTCATCAGCCACAGTTTTACCTTTCGAAGAAGGTAAATCTGCAACAATTACCTTTGCCCCTTGTTTGACAAATCTTTCTACAGTGCCACGGCCTAGTCCAGAGGCACCACCAGTCACCAAAGCCACAGTACCCTATAAATAAAAAGATGTTATATTTATCATTTTTTATATAAATGGATTCCATTAATTTTAATATATAAATATATAAAATATATTTCATTTTGATTTTTACAGACAATTATCTTCAAAATCTTTACTTGAATAGAAAGAAATTATTAAATGGGAATTATTCTGTTTATAATAAAAAAATGTTTTTTAATTACTATAATTTTGTTCTAAATGCTTATAAATTATTTAACAAAAGTCAAGATCTTTTTTTGTAAATAAATAATAAAATGTTTTTTTCGAAAAAATTGATATAACCTTAAAATATATAAATATCCAAGCAAATTCTGACGTTTTATAATATAAAAAATACAATTCAATATATTATTAAACAATGTAGTGTCTTATAATAATAATGTATATGATACAGACTTAATAATAATAATACTATAAAATCAGAAACACATAAAACAATTGCAATACATTGTTGTTAAAATGGAAATGCAAACATATGTTTTATATGTTTTGTACATATGTTTTAAATAATGTACCTACCTTTAACATTTTCAGGATTCAATTTTTTTTTTATAAAAATAAACGACGTTCGTGATAACTCCAACTATCCACAAAGCTCGCCGGAGTTCTTCTGCAACAACGATGCCAGCGAATCTGAAGATATCCCGTACTTTGTACTTGTTGTGACGAAATAAATTCCAATAATGACTTGCAAGAAATTATATCGGCGAACTTTGAATCTGCTGAGATAACAAGTTATATCATATATCGGGTTTGGCCGATAGATACTAGATGATAAAGATAAATAGAAATAAATCAAGTGTATAATTCAGCGAATGAGAACGGACCAACAAAAAAAAATATTGAAAGATTACATTCATGCTACATCGAAAAGTACACTTAACAAATATAACATCTTAATGAGCTTGCAATAAATGACCTTGCGATAAACGCAAATATTGAAGATATGATATCCACAAGATATAGAACAACGATATGAGTATATAAAAATTGTCCACTTTAAGAATATCTAGCGAACTTGGCTAGAGTTAAACTCCAGTTAACTAATGTTCATTTTTACCAATGTAGATTAACTTTAATCTCGATTTAATTTTTCATCTTTTTCTAATAGTAATAATAAATTGTAAAACCAAAAGTATATAAAACAAATGCAATACATTGTTATTAAAATAGAAATACAAATATATGTTTAAACAATAGACGTATCTTTAATATGTGTCTGTGTTTAATTAAATATATTATAAAGATATTTTTAATAAAAAATTGCGATAAATTATGATACTGTATATCTTCAACATAAATATTAAGAATTTAATGTAGATTTTCTCTTATTCAAATTAATATAAGCAGAAATAGATTTTTACTCAATTGACTCATAATTATGTAATATGCTTATTTATTTTCTCTTTTTATAGAAGTATCAAGTAATAATCAAGTTTGTTACTCGTGAAATAGAGGAGAGAATTGTTTTCTAGGAATAAATATTGTTACTAGAAAGCAAATTTTCTTATTGGATGTCGGTTTTGGTAAACAGAACGAAGCATGCGATCTGTCAAACGTCGAACACTGAAGAATACAATCTGTCACGATTTGTAATAATCGGTAATAATCGTTTTGTCAGTCACATCAACACGTTAAAAAAATGTCGGCGATGTTAACCGCCGATTGGTTTCCTCTGGGACGAGACGTGTACTTTCGGTAAATGTAATTTTAAAATTTATAATCTTTTTTTGACAAGTGCAACATTTTTATACGGTTATATTTGTATATGATAAAATAATGGGCTTAGCATGTTACTGATAATATCAATTTTTATTACAGAAAGTTCGAGCTATATCCATTATCTTTCCAGCATGAGATTTCCAGCAACAATTTATTAGTAGCAGCTCCTTATGGAGGTTCCATCGCTGTAACGAGAAATCCCAAGAAACTTGTCAAAGTCCAAGGAGCCAGTAAGCCTTTGATATTGCTGTATACGTCGTCAGGAAAATTGACAGCCAAGTTACAAGTGAGACTTCTTTAGTTTTAAGAGATGCTGAGACTTTAGCTTATTTTCTAAGTTTATTCCTTAGTAGATATAATTGAGAATTGTTTTAAGTTTTACTTTTTATTTTTCTTTTAGTGGAGCAGTGGACAACTGATATCCTTTGGCTGGTCTCAACAAGAAGAATTGCTGTGTGTACAAGATGATGGCATGGTTCTTATATATGACATGTTTGGAAATTATCAACATACTTTTAGCATGGGAAATGTAAGTTAGTTAAAATCTAAATCTGTAAATAATTATTAATTTTACAATATATTGATTTTTTTCAAGGCTGCCAAGGATACTAAAGTTGTCGATGCCAAGTTCTTTACAACATCTAATAGCACTGGCATAGCTGTTTTAACATCTACCAATCGTATATTTTTAGTAAACAATGTATCCGAGCCAAAAGTCCGACCAATCACTGATATGCCAAGCAAGTATAATATATATTTATATATTTAATATATTTTTATATATTTAATATATAAATACATTTATACATTTTTTCAATTATTGTTATCATAATTATTTTTAGGATATGGCCAGATTGATTGTTGGTGTATGGTACATTGTGATAGAGAGACACAAGTGATTTTGTCAAATAGAGAAGGGATATTTATAATTCATCAATCTTATCAGACCACTGTTTTATTTGTAAGCATATTGTTTTATAATTTATAAGATTATTATATCTATTATAGAATTTTATATTTAAAAATTAATATTGGATTTAAGAAATTATTTTATTTCGTTCCTAGGATAATCTCTTTAGAGATAAAATCAATAGCGTAGTAATGATAGCTGTATCCAGCAATAATCGACATATCGCACTCTGCTCTGATACTGGACATTTGTACATTGGTTCGATAGACTTCAGAGAGAAATATTGCGAATGCTATATAGACTTGAAAGAACCTTTAGTAAATGTAGCCTGGTTGGTAAAGAACTATATTATTTAGAATTAAGATATATATTTTAAAAGATATTAGAATTTAACAAATATTTGCAGGTGCGGTACAGAAGCTGTGGTATGCAGTTGGAGTAGTACAATAATGGTAATAGGACGTAAAGCTGATACCATAGTGTACAATTATGATGGTCCAGTACATCTGGTTACGGAAATTGATGGAGTACGTGTACTATCGAGCAACTCCCACGAAATGATACAAAAAGTACCAAATGTTGTACAGAGAATATTTAGAATCAACTCGACTGATCCTGCTTCCTATCTCCTGGAAGCTTCCAAACAGTTTCAAAAGAAAAGCCACAAAGCTGACAGTTACATAGATTTAGTAAAGGACAAGTTAGATTCGGCGATAAAAGCGTGCATCGATGGTGCGAGTCACGAATTCGATTTCGAAACACAAAAAATTCTGATGAGGGTAAATTGGATAAATATTTTTGTCGGAAATATTAAATAATTATCTAATGTCAATTTTTCATCAGGCTGCCAAGTTTGGGAAAGGATTCAGCAAAACAATGAATTCGGAATATTATGTTCAAATGTGCAGGACTTTGAGGGTCTTGAATGCAGTGAGGCATCCTGCTGTGGGTATTCCATTAACATATACGCAGTATCCTTTTATATTCATTTGATGTATAATATGCAAGATTTTATGCATTTTTTTTTTTGGTAATTGTTACAATATAAAATTGTTACAGTATAAAATCCTTATTAATATTAGATTTAATATTCTTACAAGTCAAGTGTTACTAGACCGGTTGGTAGTACGGAGACATTATTATTTAAGCATACAAATAGCACGACACTTGCAGCTACCCGAGATCGACGGGGAAAGTAGAATATTAGCACATTGGGCTTGTTATAAGGTAAAAAATATGTCAAGAGATAGAATTTTACATATTATTTAAAAATTATATTTTTCTATTTTTGTATATTTTATAGGTGAAACAAACACAGTTAGACAAAGAACAGATAGCAGAAGAGATTGCTGATAAATTAGGATATGCTCCTGGTGTTTCGTATAGCGAAATTGCAAAAAGAGCAGCGGATTGTGGACGAAAACAGTTAGCCATTAAAGTAAATATTCATTTATATGAGTATATAAAGTAATATATTTCATTGAATATATATCATTATTTTTCAGTTAATTGACTACGAACCACGTGCGCATCAACAAGTACCTTTGCTGTTAACACTTGGCGAGGAACGTGCTGCTTTGCATAAAGCCGTGGAAAGTGGCAATACGGATTTAGTTTATACCGTTATTCTTCATCTCAGAGAAAACATGACTCTCGGAGATTTCCAAGTAAGCAGCAATACTTTATTCCAAGCGCAGATATATTAAATATACATGGAAGTCTTATACAATAATGATCTTTAATACAGATGTCTATAATGCATTGTCCTCTCGCAATGGCATTATATATCAAATACTGTCAAAGTCATAATAGAGAAACGTTGCGTGACATTTACAATCAATACGATGATTTTCATTCACAAGCAGTATGGTTTATCACCGAGAGTTATCAACGAAAAGTTAGTAAAATTATTCTTGCACTTTTAATATTTTAATACACCAAATAAATAGATGTGCTAATTTTTTAGAATACGATGTCGAGAGATGCATTATTGCAATCTGCTCAGGAAAATTTTAGATTGGCTCGTAATGATATAAATGCGTCGTTAACAGAAGAACAGATAAAACTGTTGAAATATCAAAGATCCCTAGAAGATACGTTACATGAATCGGTTGTGGGAAAACCTCTGCATGACACTGTGAAAGTATTATTGCTACGTAACGAATTGAAATTGGCGGATAAACTACGATCAGAATATAAAATACCAGATCGAAGGTATATTAATTTTTATAATCTTAAACAAATTATTTATATTGTTTTAAATTATATCGAGTAATATCTTAATAGATATTGGTGGTTAAGAATACAATGCCTAGCGGAACAAGGCTTATGGAATGACTTAGAAAAATTTTCCAAAAGTAAAAAGTCTCCCATTGGTTATGAGGTAATGATAAATAACAAACTTGTTTCGATATAATTATACATTTATTTGTTTATCAACTTAGTGAAATAATTTCTTCATGAATTTTTAAGCCATTCATAGATGAATGCCTGAAGTATAATGAAAAGTTAGAAGCAAGAAAATACTTAGCCAAAGTTAAAGATGATCTCAAAGTAAAGTATTTAGTGAAATTGAAGTAAGTAATTTGAAAACTATATATTTTATGAAAAATATACGAAGCACATATAAATATTATAATTCTACAGTTTGCTTAGCGAAGCTGCACAAACAGCATATGAACAAAAGGATATTGCAGCTCTCACATTCGTGCTGGCGCAATGCGGGACATCAGATAGACAATTCGTAGATAAGGTCAATATGTTGCTAGCTAGTCTTAAAAATTAAGATTTTTCTAATCCGGTTTACAAGGTATATTTATATAAAATTTATATAACATTTGACACAAACAATGATCTTAAAATATTTTCCCATGTCAATGTGAATATTTAAAATATAATTCCCATAGATCATTAAAATAGTAAATACCTTTAATAAGAAATATCTCACTTTAATCATTATGAATGCATTTTGTCTATTCTATTGGAACATTCTATCTATATAAAAATGTGAATGTGTATTTGTTGTATAAAATAGAGGTATTTACCGAAAATCTTACATATATTATATATCACTTTTAAAATTCCACACACACACACACACACACACACACACACACACACACACACACACACACTACTATATATATATATATATATATATATATATATATATATATGTGTGTATGTATTAAATATTCTATTATATCAAACCTCATCTAATTGTGATATTGTAACATCTTTTCACTTTCAAAATGTATATCTTATAAATAAAATTAATTAAAATATATTAAGTATTAGCTTAAAAAAATAAGTTAATCAACTAATTTCTTTAGACTGTATAAACTTTGCATGCTTCTCAACGAGATCATTTACGATTAATTGTTCAATTTCATTACCATTATTTAACTGTTCGTTTGTAAGAGATAGAACGTAATTATTTTCCTTGCTAACAATTATCACTTGTTGCTTTCTAGTTTGCAATATGTTAGCTATTACAAGCTGAAAAAAATTCCCATCAAGATTTAAATACTATCTAGAGAATTCAAAAAATTTAACACGATAATTACTTACATTATGATGATACTTATTGAGGGCAGTCCTTGCCTTAGAAATCAGCAAGCTTTCATCGGTTTCTAATTTAAAGGAAATTACAAATGCCTTTGGTACCCATAAACTAACTAATGGAGCTAAAATCTTTGGTACTAATTGAAGAGATATAGTTGGTGGTCCAGTCGAAGAAATCTTGTGTACTGACTAAAAAAAAATACTATTTATTAGAATACTATTAGAATACTATTTATTAAAATATTATACTATTTATTAGAATTTATTGCTATGATATACTTGCTATGATATACTATTTATTGCTATGATATTTATTGCTATTGATATACTAATGAAAATATATTTCATAAATAAGATAAATTTACCATCTCATTGGAAGGAATGTAAAAATCTGAAACTGCTGCTGCTAAATATAAAATAGCTTTATTCTCCAAAGGCGCTAATGCTTGACAGGCAGATCGAAGCAGCCAGAGATATTCGGAGAGAGTTGTAAAAGTAAGTTGCAACAATTTGTTTTGATCAAATGCCTCTCTATATTTTCGCAATACTATTGCTACCTTCTGTGTATATTCTGGTAAGACTATGAAAATAAATATATATCTAATTTGTATCATATATATGATTCTATATATGATCAATTCTTCTTGTAACTTACCTGTAATAACAGGATTCTCATTGTCTGATAGTTGAAGTAAATCTAAAAATTTCTGTCCCATAAAATGTCTTGAGAATGGTTCCAAGGATTTGATTCTGAAGATGTAACAAATTATGTACATTATTTTATTAAGTAATGATGTAGAATATTTAGATATTACCTATACATAAAAATAACTGCATATCCATGCTCCAAAAAGTATTCTGCTGAAACTGATCCTCTTGTGCCTGCACTGAAATTGTCTACAAATCTTACTGTATTGTGTTCTAAAGGTACCGTTGTACCTCCGCTCTATAACATTACAAATTAGAAGATTGTAAGAAAATTATATATATAATGTCAAATGCTAGGACTTACCGTTACCAATACCACTTTGTTACCCGCTTCGAAATGCTTCTTGGTGAATTCTTTCAATGCCTGTTCATTTTGCTCCAAATCCTGAGGAGGTGGATGCTTCGCATAGAAATCTTCCCATGTCGAAACCATTATGGATGATTATAATATAAAAAAGTTGCTGTGAAAAAAATAAAAATATATAAAATATTTGATACATGATTATTATTTAATACATGATATATTCTAGACATGTATTACATAACGACAATTATCATAATTTCATATCAACGCCAACGAATACTTTATTTATTACATATTATTAACAATTGTACTTATTTCTACGGTAATTTTTATGTGTTGTTTGTGTAATATGTAAATTATGAAACACAAATGAGACTGCGAAAGAATTATAAACTAACCTCGACGTCAAATTTCCTCAAAGAATAATTTAACTTCGATTGTCGATCAATTTTACAAATATTAATTGCATAAAAATTTCAAAATAAGATGCTTCATATGTTTTTATGGAACAGAGACACCTTCGCTATTTCAATTTCGCACTTTGAGAATCCTTCTGGAAATAAGGTGAACACGAATCATTAGAATATACTGGAATGTACTGAATCATATTTCTTTCCATGAGCTTCCAGAAGTAAAAACAAAACATTAACAATATGTGTATCTTTATTACATAGTATATTACATACTATCTTTATTACATAATGTATTACATACTATCTTTAGATAT